ACCAGCACGGCTGCCATGGTTAGCTCCCAAGCGAGCACGGCTTCTCTGCCAGCAGCAGGATACTCCAATGTCATTATTTTTTCAAGATCAATGCAGCCTGAAGTCATACAACACAGCTGTAAAGCCTAAGCCTAACATTAGTACAGTAAGACTCTTCACAGGTTTAAGGGCTTGCTGGTCAGGCTTCAGACAGTAATTGGTCTGGATAAACATCTCAGGTGATGTCCTACTGCTTTTGACATAGGTGGCATGAGGGTTTTACCCTAGAGTACCCTCCTGACGTTACAGCATCATATTGGACAGCTATAATCATAGTGTGTGGTTAGGTTTCAAAAGAGATTTATTGCAGTCACAAGCATTTGGTAAGATCAAATTTTGTGAAACGACTCCCCACATCAACACATAAAATTCTCATCTCCCCCAGGAAATATGGCAGAATACAAAACTGCTATGCTCTTGAAATAGTCCCACCAAAGTTGTGAGATTTACACAGATATGGCAACCAGCTTATAGCTTAAGAGCTTCATAAAAAACAGCCAGTGAGGATCACAATGTATCCTCTTAGTAACTGTCAAAGGTATCTCGTATCATTACACTGAGATAAACTATTACTAGTTGGGGTACACTGCTGGTCTATTCTAAATAGTTCCAAGTTCTAAGTAGTATTTCTAATTTCCCTGAGAGTTTTAAGTTTCCTTAAAATCTCTAACCATTACTTTTAATCTCATCACCTTGCATACTACTATAGTAAAATGATTTTTAAGGTACTTTCAAATTAATTTTATTAAAAATATTCCATGCCAATTAACTAACTGGCTTTTCTGTTAAGCAGTTCTCACTAACTAGAGCAGGAGGAAATTAGAAGATCATAAATGAGCAAGATATATGAAAATAAGAATGATACTGATCATTCTAGTATTATATCCAGAGATTATTGGCTTTTTTTTTCTTTTAAATGTCACCAGTTCTAATTCTCTAAAGTACTATATTAAAAGACCATTAAAAAGAATTCCTATTTTCCTTGTTGCTGATTTACTGAACAGTGTATCATCAGATGGACTGCTTCTGTCATGATTAACTTTTGTATTTGATAGGAGCAGGAGAACAAAATGGAAGAAAGATTCTAGATCTTTATGAACTAAAAAACCTCTTAAACGAATTGAATTGAATTGCAGTTATTATATTTGAATATATTAATATATTTATTTGAATATATTTGAATATATTAAATATGTGTTTATTTGACCATATATTTTACATATATTCAAAGAAAATTGAATCTAGAAGTACAACAACAGTGTTGCCATGCTTCTCTAAACTTTTGGTCTTTCATGCTGCTATAATTTAGTCATTGGCATACTTATGGCATTAAAGAGTACAAAATGCATTTTTAAGCTTGACATTCAATTGAACATATAACTAACTTCATAGCACAGAAGGACTAAAATTTCTAGTTAGTTTAGTTGCAGAAACACAGTCAGGACAGGTCAGAACTGCAATAATTTGGGAAGTTCAAGTTCAGTAATTTGGAATAGTTCAAGTGTGCATAGACAGTATTCCCATAACTTTAAAAAAATATATATGAATATTTCAGGACCATATCTTTTTTGCAGAAGACTGTATTTTTGTTAGTAGTAGTTTTATTTAGCATGTCAGATGTGCCTGGGCAAATACTCACCACCAGTTACTACTTACACAAACAGAATCAATATGATGAACTTTATGTTGTTTTATTTTTATTCAGACTTCCAGACAGCCTCGCTAGATTGGATCTAAAGGGAAATGACATAGAGGATGTTGGAAAACAAGAGCTGAAGGACTTGAAACAGCTTCAGGTTCTAAATTTACGGAACAACAAGATATCTGCCTTAGATCGCAGAGTCTTAGAGTATTTACCTCGTCTTCGTCATCTGTATTTAGATGGAAACCCTTGGAACTGCACCTGTGACCTTCTCAGAACCAGAAGAGCGCTGGTCGCCAAAGGAACGGATGTCAGGGGAGGGCAGTGTGTGGCACCAGCAGAAAGCCGGGGAGAAAGCTGGATGTCTTCCAGAAAGATTCTGCAGCAGTGTGAAGAGAATCTCTCTTCCATGGAAAGAGGCAAAGAGGACAGAAAGAAAACAAAACCCAGTGAGGCCTTCAGCCTTGGAGAAAACATAGATGACGATTACTATTATTATGAATTAGATTAACCCCAAGATTAATCTATGGTGAACCTTAAAGTTGTCACTGCCCACTACTACCAGTGTCTTTACTGACTGCCAGCCTATTAGGCTGCCATTAACTTCTCCTCTTTAATTTTGTACTGTAAGAGTTAATAGCTGGTGACAGAAGGGCAATAGTAAGGATACCATTGTAAACTGAAAATTGAAAAAAAAAAAGAAATTGTTTTTCTATGCCATTAGTACTATGTAGTTTGAGGGAAGTAACAATACAATTACTATCTCTTAGAAGGACAGTCTGTAACTCTGTATGGACCTTTTAATAGTAGAACATTCTTATACTTGCATAAAAAACCCCATAAATAAAATTCTGCAATACTGCAAGATAATACTGCTACGAGTCTGGCATTCAACACATCCAAACTGATAGGTCTGCAGCTCGAGATGGAGAGCTACACCAATGGGAGCAATTTCTCAGGATTTTTCAGAGATTCTTGCTTTTGAGAAATTAATTTCAGTTTTCCTGAGATATTTGTATCTTTTATTTATTTTATACTGTTTCAAATTACATTAAACTAAGTTAGCTGAGCTCCAGACAAAACACAGAGGGCTCATCTTTGTCACAGCAAATTCAACAAACAGAAGAATCAGTGTCCTGGTTAAAGGGATTTAATACTAGCTCCAAGTTTAATTAATAGTAAGGAATAAAAACACTGGGGTCAATTTGACCTCATTCTGTTGTTAGTAAACAGAAGAAGGGAGAGTAGCAGGAAGAAGATCCTACCTCTGGCAAATAGTAGGATATGAACAAGTAAGACATAGTTTTTGGAAGAGTTTATTTTGGTAGCTGAATACCTAATTGGCCACAATATAGCTCAAGATGCTGTGTGCAGGTGCTTGGGTTAGGTATACTTTACAAGGGAGTACACACTGCAAGTCCCCCCCTTCACTAGCAGGAACCTTCTAGACTTTTGCATGCAAAAAAAAAAAAGACTTAATGGTATATGCATAATCTCTGATGTATGTACAAATTTTATCAAGTGCTTGAAAACTAAACAAAATTGGATTACCGAGACCCTTAAAACCAGTCACTTACAAACAGCAATTTAAGGGGTTTCCTGGCAGTTCATAAATCTTAGCCGATAACTGAGGAGTAATAACCCCAGCAAATTACTTTTCAAAGCAAACAGTTTCTATCATTCTTTATCTTCTGATTGCATTCAGTGGCTGAGTAATCACTTACACTCAGAAAGGCTGTTTTGTCAAATGTCAGAGTGCAGCTATTTGGTTACCTTGCCTGTGCAAATGCAATTGATACTTGGGTTTCTTAGGCACCTAACATAGAAAGCTTTAAGTTCATTTTTCTTTACATTTCAACTTTTGAACATATCATCAGCCACCCAAGTTTTTGGTAGCTAAAGGTTTAGATATTTATGGAACATCACAAGCCTCCATAGCAGTTTCACTGTGTTATTTTTGTTGGCTAATGTTGGTTTGCATTAGAAGTCTGGGAAGCACTTATTCTCTGAGCAAGAAAAATATTTTTGTTACTGAATTTTTTCTTTTCATATCAGCAGATTCTTTTAATAGAGTACTCTAAATAGCTCCCTGTGTCATTTCAGCCCACTCACCTGTCTGACGGCACAGGGCTAGCTTGTTAGTTCTTGCTGTGTCTTCTGCCTGCAGTGGGATTTGTATTTTTGGCTCTGTGGGCCGTAACAAGCCAAAGCATTGAAACTCCAGGAAA